TATATATAGCAGACTGATCCATTCTGTCCCACATCCCATTCAGCTCTCCTACATATCAGTGGGCGTAGAAGCCTAGTGCAACCCAACCAGGGCCACTATCCAGCCCACACACATGCTGGCGGGTGCCGTTCTTTCTAGCCACCGCTGCCCCAGTCCTGGTTTTCATGCTCTCCAGTGGCAATGATAACCCCAGAGGGAAATGCCCACTGTTTCCCTACTGGGCCCACTTCCACTCCCGGATCATGCACTCTCCAGGTGGTTCTGCAGTTTAACTTGACAGAATTAGCCCCCAGTGCCAGCATCTGCCAGCTGATGCTCCAGCAAAGCTCAACCAACCCTGACTTATGCTTGTACCAGTAGGAACATTCAGCCCAGCCTGATTTTTCCCTGCTCTAGCTCACATAAGGCTCACAGGTGTTGTAGCCCTGCCAGGTCTGATCTGTCTCCATCCCAACTTCTGCTGTCCAGTGGGAGTGGTGGTCCAGCAAGGGAGCCCTCCACATTCCCCCTACTGGCTTTGCCCCCTCCCTCCCTGGTTCTCACTTGTGCTGGTTGGGTACTGTGGCCCAGTCTGGCATGGCCCCTCTCGCCTCAGCATTTGCCAGTGGGTGCTGTAGCCTGTCCCGGCCCAACCCACCCACAATTCCAGCTGACATGGGGGTTACAGCCCAGCCCACCAGGCACCCAATCCCAGCTGTACTGTGTACCAGTATGCGTTGTGATTGAACCTGGTCCGACCCACAGTCTTTTGGTGCTCAGATTCACCAGTGGGTGATGTGAACTGCTTCAGCCTGGTCTGTCCCTGACCTATGTATGCTGGTGGGTACCTTTCCCTGGTCTGGTCTGGGCTGCTCCCTATGGTGGTTCTTGCGCTCACCTGCAGGGACTGTGTCCTGATAGAGGAGTTGCCCAGGCTCCTCCATCAAAACACCTCTCAATGTCAGATCTCGCACACATGTCGGTCCAAGGGCCAGCCCTACTTAGTTCACCTCCTGTTCTGGCAGGAACAGTGTCCTTTCCTGACTTACCTTCAGCCCATTCTGAATCTTACTGTTGGATGCTTCAGCCCAGCCAAGGCTTGTCCATACTGAGACACTGCTTACACATGGCTCAGTAGGTGCAGAGACCTAGCCTAGTCTGTCCTACATCTACCCTGGTCCTCCAGAGCACCAGATGGTGCTGGAGTCTTGCCCGGCTCAGTGTGTCCAGCGCCAGTCCACACTTGTGCCAAAGGACACTGCTGCCATATCCAGACCAGAATGCACCTCCACTCTGGCCCCCACACTCACCAGTGGGAAACCCAACTCAGCTAGGGTGTCCTCTTACCAGTCGGGCCTGTTCCCAGCCATAGATTGCACGCATGTTAGTGGTTGTTCTGACCCAGCTTGGCATAGCCCCTTACCTGTCTTGACCTTTGATTTATGTTCTTACTTGTGAGCTAAGGTTTACTCTACCCTGCCCAGTCTGCCCCCTTCCATAACCAACCTGCACTTTAGCTAACAGTTGGAGCTACTTTGCCCAGCCTGCCCAACCCCCAGGCCTGGACCATGTGATCATCAATGAGAGCTATGGCCCACTAGGGGAGTTACCCAAGTTCCCCCACTTGACCCACTCCCAGACCCAGATCTCATACATGCTAGTGGGTGTTAGGCCAGTGCCCGGCACAGTCTACCCTTCCATCTTGGCCTTGTATGAGCTGGTAAATGTTGCAGCCCGGCCCACCCTACACCCTGTTTTAGGATGCAAATTTGGGTGCTGCTGCCTTGACCTGCCCAGACTGTTGTTGGTTCCTCTACCCGTGAGTGATGGCAGTTTCCATGAATCACCACCCCAACTCTTGAGCTAACCAGTGGGACTTGTATTTCCACAGGGTTGGGCCCATTTATCCCCTGCAGAATCTACCCCCAGACTTGGTTCCTCACATGCTGGTTGGTGTCATGACCCTTGCTAATGTGACCCATCCCCTGTTCCACACTCAGTCAGCTACTGGGATCTAGCCCTACCAGACATGACCTTAGCCATAGCTTTTGTGTGGGCTGGCGTGTGGCAGTCAGCGATGCTGTGCACTAACAGCCCATCTCAGGACTCCCATGTGGGCTGGTGAATCAGTCTGACCCAAACAGATCTTACAGACTCTCTTCTCCAAACCACCAGGTCTCAGTCCCTAAGCTTGCCCACAAGTTCAGTGACCCTGTTGCTGGAAGTCACACTGCATTCATCCCTCACCTACACTCACATTGGCCTTATCCACAGATGTCTCTAGGCAGCCGATACATACCCTTAAACCCTAGAGCTCACTGCTGGGTGGCCAGCAGGTGGAGCCTCACGCCACCTGGTGCGCTGGCCTCCCAAAAGCTCATGGCGACGGTATCCGTGGCCCAAGTATTGGGTGTGACCTGGCTTGGGTGCCCTCTGCAGCTGCCACACTGCTAAGGGCTCCTGATACCTAAACCCCGCAGTTGAACACCCACTGTCTAGGTTCCTCCGGTCACAAGGTGGTGGCAGCAGGGCGGAGCTCCGCTGACCATTCTTGAGGACTCAGGAAGGGAAGTGGCACTGACTATGTGTCAGCAGATCCGGGTGGCACCTCTGGTGTTCACTTGGCTTGGCTCAGGTTTTCATCCTCCCAGCTCTCTTGGGTCGGCATCTCTCAGCAGCTATTGCTGAAATAGTTTGTGGTCAAGCTAAAAATAACCTGTTGGAATTGTGATAATCCCATCGCTCCGCATTTCAGATGTACCCTGCTTAGTTCAAGGCCCTGGGGTCCCATGTGCAGTCTGGTAAATTTCCAGGAGAGGCAGGTATGGGACGTCCATCAGGTGGACACTCCTGCACATTCAGGGCTGACCTCAGCTGGGGAGGCACCTCTGAAAACCATGGCCCCTGTCCTTGGGGGAGGTGGCATGCTGGGAAGTGAGGGGCCAGTGGGGCAGCACTGGGCAAGAAAGGCCAGTGGGGCAGCACTGGGTGAGGACGTCATCCTATCAGCAAGAGACTGATCTAGGGACTTGCCCTAAAGATTTATTTGTTGGAAAGGCAGTTATAGTTCATTTCCCAGATGGCTGCAGCAGCAGAGCTGGGCCAGTCTGGAGCCAAGAACCTCTTCCAGGTCTCCCACATGGGTGCAGGATTTCAAGATATTGGGCCATTTTCCACTGCTTTTCCAGGCACACTAATAGGGAGCAGGAACTGGATTTTAAGTGGAGCCCCAGAACCTGAACTGCCCCCAGATAGAATACTTACAACACCCACAGTGCCAGCCCCAAGGGCTGGTCACTTTAACGGAATGAACAGAAGGTTGAGAACAGAAGGGACCACTCAAATTCATCTCATCTTTCCATACCCCAAAAGTGAAGCATCTCCTAGGCCCACACCATGGCAGCCTGCAGGAGCTGGCACCTGTGTAGGAAGCCCTCTGCTCCGGAGCCAACTGAGGGGCTCTTGGAAGGGGAGCAGAACACGGTGTGCCTCTCGGGCAGCACTGCAACCCTGACCTCCTTCAACAGTGTTCCTGCACGTTGCCCCAGGACTGTGCACATGCCACATCCACCTGAAGGGCTTTTAGGGGAGACTGTTCCCCCATGTGTGTCTGGGACCTTTAGGGGGCATGGGCAGAAGGCAGGGCCGCCCTCAAGAGCCTGGGCATCCAGCAGCATTTCTTGCTTTGCTGTGGCCTAAACAGGCAGACTGCAGGAGGCCTGTCATGTAGGGGCTGCTGGGAATTCAGCTCTGAGGGCTGGTAGGCCCAGGTGGGCAAATGCTCATGGCCCTGGGCTGGGCCCTGGCGGACACATGCTGACCGCCCTGGGCTGGTTCTGCATAGCACACATTCATGCATAATTTTCTGCCACACCTACACATAAATGCCTATGTGTTACACGCATGTACTTGGCATGCTCATGTACACTTAGGAACTCTGCATGAGGCAGCAGGATTCCTTGGCAGGACACTTAGAACTGCTGGCCCATTCAGCCTGCACTCCTGCACTGACCACTTCCCATATATTCCCAACCAACTTTGTATGTTGCCCCATGGGCCTGTTAGTCTTTCACCTGAGTCTGCCCCCGACCCAGACAGCAAGGCAGGGCGTTGTCCAAGGGCCTCACGCACAAGGCTCTGGGGACCTTGGGGTCTTTGAAGTGACGGACATGAGGTCCTGGGGCTGGCCTAGCCTGGATGGCCTGTCACAATGAAGCAGCCTCCCTGTGCCTTGGGTCAGGGGTCATGAGAACCTCAACTGGGTTCCTGGGTCACCTAGGACAGGATGCAGTGAGAGGACAGAGGGCTGGTGAGACAGCTGGGGTGGAGGTTGTGGCTTGGCAGTATGTGTGGGCCCAGCAGCGCTGTCCTGTGCTCCTGAATGGATGTCCGCTGTGTAGTGGTGCCCTAGCCAATGTCCTGCAGCAGGTTCTCCCCAACAGAAGCAGTCATGACCCGGGGTCCCCAGGGGAGCCATGTGCAGCCAGCGGGTCCTTGCTTCCTAACACAGTCTCCTGGTGTTTCTCCCCACAGGTGAACGTGTACGTGCTGGGGAAGACTTTCCTTCTGCTGGCACGGGAGCTGTGCATCAATGCACCCGCCATAGGTAGGCCTCTGGGCTGTGGGAGGGCCAGCTGTGGCTTCAGAGAAGCCAGCCGAGCACAGGGCCCTTTGGGAAGGAGTGTGCCCAAGGACTATGGGCCCTCAGCAGGTGCAGTGCTGTCTGACAGGGTGGTGGGGGACAGGTCTGGGGCTGACAGCCCAGCGTGCTGGAAGGTGTTCTTGGTTTGTTCTTATGTGAGAGATGAAGGAACTCCCACCTGCTGGTTCACTGCCTGCAGTGTCTCGGGGTTGGGGCTGAGGCTGGAGTCCAGGTCTCCCGAGTGGCCAGCAGGGGTCATCCGCTGCCTTCCGGGGTCTGCCTGGCAGAAGTTGGAACTGGGAGTCGAACCCAGGCACTGAGATGGCGGTGCAGGTGCTGCCCACGTGCCCAGCACTGCCATTACAACTTCCCGATGCACGTCCTTTTCTGGAGCCTTTATTACGAAAACCCCTTTGGGTGGGCAAGTGGCATGACTTCTCCGTGCAGGCGGCGTAGGCGCCGGGGAAGGGGCCAGGCACTGCCCGATGCCCATCCCTGCCACCGGGGCTCCGTCGCAGTGTCCCCAGGGCCCAGGAGGTGTCCTGCACCTCCCCTGCACCTGGCCTCCCCCTTGGCGTGTTAGGCATAGAAGATGAGCTCGGGGATCTGCCCGCCCTGCACCCCGGTTCCATTGGTGCTGTCTGATGAGCACTGGAACTGGAAGGTCACTTTCCCACACTGCACCTCAGTCATCCCCTCCTGTCCAAAGTAGCTGAGCTCGCTGCCGTCCAAGACGGCGCTGGCCGTGTAAAAGGTGTCCTGTTCCACCTGGACCGGGTGCTCAAACCACACTGAGAAGGTGTTGCTGGACCCATCGGACACAAACTTGGTCAGGTTCTGCGCCAGGACCACGCCCAGCCGTTTGAGCTCGATCTTGACTGTGTATTCGGCCTTCCCAGAGCTCGAGCCGTACAAGCCCAGCCCGGCCACGAACACTCTCCTGTCCACGGCAAACTGGATGCTGTCACAGCGCCCGCGGTACCGCCACTGGTTGCTGCGGTAGGCGGATGACTGGAAGCGGTGGCACCTCTGTGGGGTGAGGCCCTTCCGCTTGGCCAGGGGGAAGTCCAGGAGGGGCTTGTTGGCCGCTGTGTACCACAGGAAGATGTTGTGGGTCTCCTCCAGCGTCAGAATGTCCGACTGTGCCGCACCGTTGGCAAACTCCTCGAGGCTCATGGTCGGTATGCGCACGAGGTACAGGACACGCCCCAGGACGTGTCGCTTGTTGAGCGGGGTGGCCGGCAAGCCCTGCCTCTTGCACTCGGCCTCGGCCCAGCTCAGCACGGCCTCGAAGACCACCGCCTCCTTGGTGTTGAGGGCCTCCCGCGTGACGATGATCTCTAGCGTCTGCCGGTCGATCTCACAGAAGCCCTCGGAGCGCAGGGCCATCTCGGCCTGGGCGTCGATCACCTCCCAGCAGCGCTGCGTCAGCTCGGGCTCCTCGAAGAGCCGGCTCTGGGACAGCAGCACGCACGCGTTCTTGGCTTCCAGGCTGGTCTCCAGAAAGTTGACGCAGGCCTTGGCCAGTGCGGGCACGATGTACTTCTTGGCCGCGTACAGCGTGGCCAGCACGGTGTCGGCTTCCAGCTCAATCTCGTCACTGTACAGGTACCTGGGGCACAGGCTCGCGTGGGCGTCCTGTGCAGCGGCGCCCCTCCCCCGCCCCTGCTCCCCGACTTACTTGAGCAGGATCAGGAAGGCTGCGGGCTCCACGTCCGGGATGTGGATCTCCGACTTGACCTCGGCCAGGTCCCCGTAAAACATGGCATAAAAGACGGAGCTGCCCACGGCCAGCACGTACTGTGGGGGAGACGGGCGCGTGAGCCGCGGGGGGCTCCGGCCCACTGCTCCCGGGCCCTCAGGCCCCCGGCCGCGCCCGCACCCACCTTGTGGGCGGGCACCCTCCTGGCTGCCCCGAGCGGCCCCACGATGAAGTGGACGTCGGCCATGAGCTCGTTGTTGAACATCAGCGCGTTCCTGCAAGGGCAGAGGACGGGGGGCTCGGTCTGCGGGGCCGGCGCCCGCGCGCCGGGGAGGGGAGGGCGCCGGCCGGGCTCACCTCTCGCGCAGCGTCGGGTGGAAGGACTGCCAGTTGGGGCTCTCCAAGTTGTTGTTGTTGGGCGCGGGCGGCGCGGGCGCGGGCGGCGGCGGGGCCGGGGCCGGCGCGCTGGGCGGGCAGCGCGGGCCGGCCTTCCTGCCCGTCGCGCCGGGGGCGGCCGCGGCGTTGCTGTTGGCCAGGTCGGTGGCGGCGGCCGCGGCGCCGGCGGGGGCGTAGAGCTCCGCGGCCATCTTCGCGGCCGGGGCGGCCTGGGCGCAGGTGGGCGCCGCGCCGCGCACCCTCGCGCCGCGCCGGGGCCTGGGCAGCGGCTCGGCGAGCACCAGCAGCGAGCTGAGGCACTGCGCGACGCGGCCGTGCAGGCAGGCGAGCGGCAGCAGCATGGGGCCGCGGCGGCCGGAGGGCGCAGCAGCCCGCGCCGCGGCCCCACCCGCCCGGCGCCCCTGCCCGCCCGGCGCGCGGCTGCTGCGTCACGGCGCCCCTGCGTCACGGCGCGGCGAGGCCCCGCCCCGGGGGCGTGACGTGTCGCCGGCCGCGCCTGCGCCCCACCTGCCCAGAGCCCACTGTCAGGGAATGTTCCTAAGAGAATGTTTTCAGAAGTGAAAGTGCGGCCACACCCCTTGGGGCTTCAGTTTCCGGTCTCGGCAGGGCCACCCCCACCTTCCAGCCAGGGGCAGGACCCGAACCCAGGATCCCGGGTGCTGGGCACGAGCGCGTAGCGGTCGGGCCACGCAGCAGCTCGCCGTGGAGGGCGCGGCCCCAGGTGGTGGAGCGCCTGCTGCTGAAGGCGGCTGGTACACAGCTGACCCCTGGCCTTCGGTCCGTTTCTTTCTTATTTATTTGTTTATTTATTTTTGTTGCAAAGATCTTCCATCCAGTGATTCACTCCACAAGCGGCTGGAGCTGAGCCAGTCTGAAGCCAGGAGCCAGGAGCTCTTCTGGGTCTCCCACGAGGGTGCAGGGTCCCAAGGCTTTGGGCCGTCCCTCACTGCTTTCCCAGGCCACAGTCAGGGAGCTGGGTGGGAAGTGCAGCAGCTGGAATTAGAACCGGTCTCCATATGGGATCCTGGTACATGAAGGCGAGGACTTTATCCACTAGGCTGCAGCACCGGGCTCAGCTTTTTTTTTTTTTTTCTTTAAAAAGATATTTTATTTTGGAGTCAGAGAGACAGGAAGAGTTTCTTTCGGCTGATTGACTCCCCAGATGGCTGCAAACTGGGCCAATCTGAAAGGGGAAGCCTCTTCTGGGTCTCCCACGAGGGTGCAGGGTCCCAAGGCTTTGGGCCGTCCTCGACTGCTTTCCCGGGCCACAGGTGGGGAGCTGGATGGGGAGCGAGGCTCCGGGATTAGAACCGGCGCCCATATGGGATATCCGCACGTGGAATTGGAGGATTAGCCTGTTGAGTCATGGTGCCAGCCTCATCATGTATTTTTAAATTTTTAAATGTTTTTCTTTAAAATATTTTTTCTCTTTTATTTATATTTTTGGTTTTTCTTCTTTTTTTCTTTTTTTTACTTTTTACTTTTTACGTGTTTCTTTTTATTGTTCTGTTCTTGCCCTTCTTACCATGCTTTCCTGCTTGGTTTGCTTCCCTGGCACAGCCTGGAGCACTGGCAGGACCACAGGGCGCGGTTGCACACTGGCCCTGGACCACCGTCGGCCTTAGGGGTGTGCTGGCGGGAGCCTGGGGCCCTGGGGGAGGAGCCTGGTGCCCTGGGGGAGGAGCCTGGGGCTCCGGGGGAGGAGCTGGGGCCCCGGGGGAGGAGCCTGGGGCCCTGGGGGAGGAACTGGGGCCCTGGGGGAGGAGCCTGGTGCCCTGGGGGAGGAGCCTGGGGCTCCGGGGGAGGAGCTGGGGCCCCGGGGGAGGAGCCTGGGGCCCTGGGGGAGGAACTGGGGCCCTGGGGGAGGAGCCTGGTGCCCTGGGGGAGGAGCCTGGGGCCCCGGGGGAGGAGCTGGGGCCCTGGGGGAGGAACTGGGGCCCTGGGGGAGGAGCCTGGGGCCCCGGGGGAGGAGCTGGGGCCCTGGGGGAGGAGCTGGAGCCCTGGGGGAGGAGCTGGGGCCCTGGGGGAGGAGCTGGGGCCCTGGGGGAGGAGCTTGGAGCCCTGGGGGAGGAGCTGGGGGAGGAGTTGGGAGCCTGGGGCCCTGAGGGCGGAGCTGGGGGCCTGGGGGAGGAGCCTGGGGCCCTGGGGGAGGAGTCTGGGGCCGTGGCCTGGCTGTGTGGGCTTCCTTCGTGCTCGCCCAAGCTTTTGTACTGATCTCTTCCTGCTACTTATTCTTTAGTGGTAAACGCTTAATACAAATTGACTTTTTTTTTTTAGTTTATTTTTTTATTGCAAAGTCAGATATACAAAGAGGAGAGATAGAGAGGAAGATCTTCCATCCAACGATTCACTCCCCAAGTGAGCACAACGGCTGGTGCTCCGCCAATCCGAAGCCAGGATCCAGGAGCTTCCTCCAGGTCTCCCACTCGGGTGCAGGGTCCCAAGACTTTGGGCCGTCCTCGCCTGCTTTCCCAGGCCACAAGCAGGGAGCTGGATGGGAAGTGGAGCTGCTGGGATTAGAAACCCATATGGGATCCCTCGCGTGTTCAAGGCTAGGACCTCAGCCTCTAGGCCACGGCGCCAGGCCCAAAAATTTGTTTTCAATAGTTTTTACTTACGTATTTGAAAGGCAGCAAGAGAGGGAAGAGAGGAGATGGCTTGTTCATCTGCCGGTTCCCTCACTGGATGGCTGAACCAGGAGCTCTGTGAGCTCTCCTGTGGGTGCCAGGGACGCAGCTCCTTGAGCCATGGCTGCTGCCTTCCAGGGTCCTCCCCTGGGGAGGTGGGCGTTCCAGGCAGCAGCCTCTGGCGCACAGCCTCCTGTGCACCATGCTGTGCAGCCCCCAGCTGCGGTCAAGGTTCAGTCCTGTCCCGTGGCGGGGTTAGGGTTTGCTTTGACTGCAATCGCCGCAATGGATTTGAGGTCCTGAGTTTCCTTGGGGAGCGATGTTGAGCTTCTGATATGTTGCTGTTTGCTTTAGAGAAATATATCCAGCTCATTCAAAATCATTTATTGCTTGAGATGGATGTTCCATCTGCTGCTTCTCTTCCCAAATGCCCACAGCGGCTAAGGCTGGGCCACGGCCAGGGCTGGCAGCATTCACAGGGATTCCTGCCAGGCCAGCTGCACGGAGCAGTGTGTGCTGGAGGAAGAACATTCCAGAAAGAAGGCTCACTGCCTTTCACAGGGGCTTCTGTTTATAGGCAGAGAAAAGGAAGCGAGTTTCACAAGCAACTTGATTGGCTGCAGTCATATCTGCCTTCTGTGGAGCCGGGATCATGGCTAACTGTGATTGGCTGAGATTTCGTTGCTTGGTTACTAGAGTGGTCTGTCCTGTTGCTCTTGCTGTGTGGAGGGCCAACTCAGGTCCTCACATAAAGAGGCTGGTTCTGGCTCTGAAGTTGGGATGTGCTTGTTCAATTGACCTGTGGTCGTTTTCCTCCCTGAGTGGTCTATTAAGAGAACCATGGAAAACCTCCAATGATCGTGGGTCCCAGTTTCTATTTCCAGTGCCTTTTGTTGCCCTGTGTCTACAGGTTGGTCACCTCGGCTGCCCTTCTCTGGCATTGAGCCCCTACCTTCCTGGGGCCGACCCTTGCCCAGCCTGACATGCCTGACCCTTGGGTGTTGTTTCTGTATCGGTTGTAAACCAGCTTTTCTGGCGTGCATTCTAGTGAGGGCAGTTCTCACAGATTGGACACAGCAGCTGGTGCTTGTGTGGAGTGCTCCAGCGCCTCTGAGCGGTGCTCGCAGCTGCCAGCTCTCTGGGAAGTGCGGGTTCTGACAACACAGGACCCGCTCCTGCTCAAAGCTCCTGACTTGTCTGCAGGGAATCACAAGCAGTTTTAAACTGCATCTCTTCCGTTTTAAGAATTACTCAGTGTCAGAAGACTGTTCATGGTTCATGCTAGAAGAAGCTCCAGGCCCCACCTTCCTCCTGCCCTTATACTTTGGCAGATTAGTTGGGGTAGACCAGCAGATGGAAGCCTGCTCACTTGCAGTCTCTCTCTCTCTCTGCCTCATAGAAACATGTGTCAGCTTTCTCACAGTATTTGTTTATTTGAAAAATGTATTAGGTCTAACAGATTTCTTCTTTACTGGTTCACTCCCCAATATTTGCAGTGACCAGGAAGGGGCCAAATTTTGGAGCTGGTACTCACTCCAGCTCTCTGCTGCCCCCCAGGATCTGAGTTAGGCAGGAAACCGTGTTGAGAACTGAGTCCATGTGTTCCAGCCTGGCGTGTGGGTGTCGTGACAGGACACGTGCTAGGGCACCTGTGGGAGTCACATGACTTGGGAAGCACCGTTTGGTTTCTTTGCCCTGCAGCCTCCTGTAGGGCTGAGCTGAAGGGCTGTTCGAATCCTGGGGCCCACCTGGTGCACAGCCACACATGATCAGTGGGGGGTGGGGAGGGCTGCTCAGGGAGGGCACAGCACCTTGGGGACTCGGGCACTGGGGTCCTCTCTGGCTTTGGAGTTGAGTCACATGATGGGACACCTTTGGTGATGTATTGGTGCCAGGGTCGGAGGGCTTGCAGGTGCTGTGAGCATCCAGGGTTTCTGTCTCCCCTGCTGTCAGAGGAGGAACTAAGCTGACGCCCAGCCCGGGTCACCCTTGTGTGCTGCTGCTCCCTTCCTTGTTCTGGACTAATCCTTGGCAGCTTCCATCTGCTTGTCCCATGCTGACCTGGGGCTCACCCAGCCCTGTCGGCCTCAAGCCTGAACCTAAGTGGCCTGCCTCTCACTGCCTGGACTCGGGGACAGATCGTGTGTGGCTGTGCACTGTGCACTGGCCCGCAGATCCCCCAGTTTCCTGCCCTTTATTCCCGCCCCCATCTGCTAAGCACCTGTGAGCCTGTGCAACTCCGAGACCCTTGGAGAGCTCTGTGGTCTTGAGGGAAGGCGAATTGGTGGGTGCCTGCCCTCCCCTCCTTTGGCAGGCCGGCCTGGTGGCAGGACACGACCCCCAGGGAGATGGGTGAGGCCACTGAGCGCCTGCCCTCCCCTCCCTGGCAGGCCAGCCTGGCACCGGGGCTGGCACTGACACAGCTTTGTGTGCTGCAGACCCGTGTCTCTACATCCCACGCTTTGCCCACCTGCTGGAGTTCGGGGAGAAAAACCATGAGGTGTCCATGACGGCCCTGCGGCTCCTGCAGAGAATGAAGAGGGACTGGATGCACACGGGCCGGCGCCCCTCGGGCCTCTGTGGAGCAGGTACAGCTGAGTCCTGGGGCACAGGCCCTGTGATGGTAGCCTGGATGTGGACACACCTGGACCCGGGCTCTTCAGCCACTGTGAGGTTTGGGGCGAGCTGAGCTTGTGTGAGGTTGTGTAGGTTGACGTGGCCTTGCATGAAGGGCTGCCCCA